CAACATGGGAAGAGAACTAATCATGGGTCGACAAGCACTCGGTGAAATGAAGAATGAGAATGGAGAATTGTTTGCAGAATTCTGTGCACTCAATGATTCGGTGATTGGAGTCAGTGTGCAAAAACATAAGGATATTCACAAGGCAGCGACATGGACTTCACCAGATGGACACAGTGAAAATCAGATCGACTTTATCTCAATGTGAAGAAAGTGGAGATGGAGACACAGCCTACCTGACCCAAGATCAGATCAAGAAGAGGAGCAGATTTAGGTTCACATCACTCATTATCTAGTTAGTGCAAGCAGCCTTCAGAGTCAAGTTGAAAGCCTTTAAGGAAGTTGGTGATAGACCACAGTTTAAGTTGAACACCCAGAAACTGAACTGAAGGACGAAACTACAAAGGAAATCTTCACGTCAGTCAGCCACCAAGACAAAATGGGAGATATCGTGGAACATCCGTGAAGGAACCTGTGTGGAAGAACACTGTAACTCTCTGAAAGAGATGTGGAAAGAAACCTGCATAACCGTAATGGGACAAGAGAGGAAAGAAGACAAGGAATGGATCTCGACAGACACATGGAAGCTGATAGAGGAGAGGAGGATGGTGAAACAGAAGATGAAGCAGTGCCGTACAGTGTGGATATGTACAACGAAAAGACGAACTGGACACAACCTATAAAACACTGGACACAGAAGCGAAGAGGAGCGTATGCAAAGACAAAAGATACTACTACGACACACTTGAAAGTGAAACAGAAAAGGCTTCAGGTAGGAGAGACCTGAAAACACTATATCAAATAACCAGGTTGCTATCTGGGAAGGGAGAGATCAACACAGATGAAACCAGTGAAAGATAGTGCTGGAAAGCTAGTTACCAAAGAGAGAGGAGAAACAAATGAAACAGTGGGCTGACCACTTCAAAAACCTCTTCAATCAACTACAACCTGCACTTCGTCCAGAAATACCAATTAACACAAGCCCTCCGACAAAAGCCGAAATTCTAAACCTCATAAAGTTGCTGAAAGCTGGAAAGCAGCAGAACCAGATGGAATTCTGCCAGAGGCACTGAAAACAGATGCAGAGACAACAGTGGACATGCCCACGCCACCAGTGCGGAAGGTTTGGAAGGAAGAAAGGGAAGGTACCTGCTGACTGATTGGAAGAAGGGTTACCTTGTCAAACTCTCAAAGAAGGAAGACTTAAGTCTTTCCAACGACGGAGCAGAATCATGCTGCTGTCCACCTCAGGCAAAATGTTATGCCACATCATCCTCGAGAGATTAAGAAATGATCTGGATTCAGAATTACTACCGGAACAAGCTGGCTGGCTGGATTCAGAAAGAACAAATCATCTGCGGATCAAACCGCAACGCTGCGCATCATCATAGAACAGAGTATGGAATGGCAGTCAGCTCAACTCTACCTCATCTTTATGGACTTTGAAAAGGCCTTCGACAGCGTCGACCGAGAATTAATGTAGCAACTGCTTCAACTTTACCGAGTGTCACTAGTCTTTATCAACCTCATTCAACAGCTATATGCTATATGATGCTACGTTCCAAGTGATTCACAATGGAAAGCTCAGTGACACCTTTGAAGTAAAGACAGGAGTAAGACAAGGTTGCCACCTACCATTACCGATGATCTTCTTGATTGTGGTGGACTGGACTCGACTGGATCACGCAAAAACCGTCAGGGGCGAGAAGTGGGCATACGCTGACTGGACCAATGAAAGGACCTCAGAAAATTTGGATTTCGCCGATGATGATTTATGTCTTATTACCTATGTCGCACAAAATTGAAGATCTATGGGCGAAAATTAACACGTTGGCAGAGGAGGCAGTTTAGCGAAGATGGGACTTCAAGTGAACGTGAAGATAGAAGTGATGAAGATAGCCAACCAACAAAACAACCACAAGCACCAATCACCATCAAGTAGAGAAATCTAAAGCAAGTAGCCTCTTTCACCTATCTGTTCAGCATCTTTTCAACTACAAGTGGCGGCATAGACGAGGACTTCAAAGCAGCCAAGATCGGAAAAGCAAGACAGGCGTTCATTAAACTGAAACCAGTGTGGAGATCCACTGCATTAAGCATATGGAACAAGATCCGGATTTTCAACACCAACATCAGTCAAGTCAGTGCTTCTGTGTGGTGGTTCAGAAACTTGACGCGTCACGAAAAGCATTTCCAACAAACTACAGACATTCATGAACAACTGCCGCCTACGCTCACTCCAAGCTAACGCTGAAGATCAGGTGGCTACAATAATAAGAATAAGCATCAAGGAACTCTGGTTGACAACGAACCAACTAAGAACCCATCCATCATCCAACAGATATGCTGAAGAAAGTGGAGATGGCTTGGGTTGGATATTCACTCAGAAGACCGTTTGGGGACATCACACGCCAGGCCAGCCCCTCGAGTGGAACCCAAACAGGAAACAACGAGTTGGGCGTCCGAGGTGAGGATGACATAGAGATCATGTGAGGAAGAAATGAAAGGTTACGTGCAGTTGTGCAGCCAGGTTGAAAAGACCGCAGAGAAGAGAGTGCAGTGGAGGTGTTCCACTGAAGCCCTATTTTCCACAAGGAACCCAAGTGTTAATTAATAATAATCAGAATTATAAAAAAGTTAACATACAACGTAATGGCTTTCATTATTTAACTTAAAGGGTAGTAGGAATTTCAGACATACGCGGGATCGGCTGTAAATATTTCCTGTTACATTTGCAGTATTAATTCTATGAAAAGATGTTTGGAGACCTGTCTTTCCCTCCAGCTGACTGCATTATCCTTCAAAACTGCCACTCTACTCCCAGCGTTTCATGTGATTCCATGTCAACGTAATAACAGAAACACATCTGTCTTTGGATATTACTTGTTTTGTTGAAGTCCATCATCTTAAATTTAGCTAACTGCTCTGCTAACCTGAATGACATCGTCTAACTGATTTAATTGACATACTTGACCTTGCAATCAGTACACAATACTAGATTAGTTTAAATTGTTTCACTTTATTTTGTCAATAAAAACCTCAAATTATAAAGGTAATCCCTGAATGAATTCAAACTTGTTAAAATAATGCGTACTATATCTCATGTACTTTATGCGTGTGAAGATGTAACAGAGTCCCTGAACTCTTTATTAGACATACTACAGTCGCTGCTTACATGATTACTCTTCCCTTTCTCATTCGATCATGTGAATTTTTGAATGAATTTCTGAGGATACTTATCAATTAGTAGAGTTTCGCTTATTCATAAGTTGGCTCATTCAAATTCGCAGACGTACTGCATGAAATGCTGACTTGATTACTTCAATATTTTCTCTGAACGTATTTATTCCAGTGACAGTTGAAATAACCTCTAACTGTCTATTGAAGTGCATTTGTTTTCTGTAGACGTTAGTACCTAAACAATCGCTTTGTCTTTTTCAGCATTCTAGTGAAGGAGATCTGTCTTTGTTGATTTTCGAAGGCATAAGTAATCTAAATCCCTTCCTTCACGTGTGTTTAAAGAAACTAAGGATATGTTTCGTTGTTAACACAGTTAGTATGTCATCTATATATCGTCATCATATCTTAGAAGCAGGATAAAATTCCCCAGGGATATACATTTCCACATGTTCATAAATAAATCTCGATATTGCCGTCTTCTGCCCAAGATTTCATATCCCAATAGGAGATGACCATTCCTGTCTAATAAACGACTGAAATCAGCAACGTGTACAATCAGACTATACACTTCACCCAAAGAAGTGCTATCTTGGCTCGCTAGTCTGGCGAATTATGCGCTTGTTCTTGAAAGACTTGGTTCTTAGCTCAACCTCCAGCAGGAACAATCTCACTCACTGGGAAGAGTGATTTTAAAGACCACCATAACAACTGCCAAAATAAGCAAGGAGGTTATGGTATTCAGACTGGAAGACAATTCTTCATAGGACAGACAAAACGTGGTTAGTTGTTTCTTCAGTTGCTACGGTAACCTTTAAAGTTGTTCGACTGGGAAGGAAGTATATCCAGGTAACGAATGTTAAATAGAACAAAGCATACACGCTGCATTCCAATTCCAGCCATCCATCATTAGTACTTTTGGTTTAGTTAGTTGTCGCCTGACTTTTGTATGTTATTTTGAGGCAGCAGATGTTTTATGTACGGAACTGAATTAAAGCTAATTCAATGCTAGGAATGAGATCTTAGATCTTCGGCTGACCTACCACTGCTGTCAAGATGAACACTTTCGTTTTTTATTGAGTCGAATGCTCTCTCTCTCTTCTTTGTGCTCATTGACTGAACATTATACACGTGCAGCCGGAATGATTCACAACTAATTCATAGTTTATGGAAAATTCTACAGCCAGCAGAATGGAGGTTTTACTAAGGGAAACTAGACAGTTATGCTTTCTCCTAAATATGATTATTAACAATAAATTGTGTTTAAAATGCTAACCAATAATGCTGTATCATTATCTGTTTTATCGGATGCAATTATTCAGTATGAAATCACACCCAGTCAGTGTCTAAATTCTTCTATAGCATCAGTTAGGCAGTCGATAAACATTTAAACTTTGCATTATAGTACTGACCAAATAAATAGTCAGTTCAACTGCCGATCTCATTACCAATGATAAAGTGCAATGCATATCTCATTACAATACGAATTATTGTCACAACCGATCACCGTATTGATTCTTAAAAAACTACTTTTCACTTGAATATGTGTTGAAAATCTTTTTCAACATATGATACATAATTCATACGCTTAGTCTTGATGTTGAAATCCCTTCGAAAATTGATATTCTCAGCAATCGTTTAGCTGACAAGTGATCATACACAAGTTACTGTCTAAAAAAGTAACTAATTAACCATAAATGACCTTGCTTTCTTAAAAATAGACTAACCTGTGACTCTTGATGCCTAAAACAAGTCTACTTTGTGTTTGTTATTGTTATGATCAGTTAATTAGTATGAAAAATAAGAAATAAATACAGTCTACTTACTAGCTTTTTAGTTATTTGATGAAATAAATCGTTAATAAGTTTACATTGGTATTTTGAATTACCCTTCGGCAACAGCATAGTTGAATTTGCTGAACCTGGAGTTGTCATTGTTGAGTTAGCTGTAGTGAGAAACCTATCTGATCTGTTTCCATCGTGGATCCTTCGAGACTCAGTAGATGAATCTCTTAGTGGTGGATACATACGTGGAAAATGATGTTGTTGCTTACTTTCATAACATTCTCTGCTACGATTGAGGCAGTTATTCATCGAGGATTCCTCTTGCGATTTACGCTTTTTTGAATCACCTACACCTTGAAAACTAGAAATTGAAGAGCCGGAATCAGTTCGCTGTAGACTATTCTGTTGAGTAGATACTTTATTTGACCCGTTGAACTCATGAAGCATATCAAGTCCCTCAAAGTTATTGTTAGCTAAATTACTTTTATCCAAACCATTCTCCTTAAACTGTTTCATTAACCAGCTCATCAGATTTCCGTCATCATCACCATCAGGTTTACAGCTGATATCACCAACGTTTCTCTTTTGCTTCTGATTCTTGTTGGCTAAATTACTTAAATCACCATTACCATCTGGATGGTAGTCAGCTACAACCGTTGTGTATAATGGAGGTAACAGATCTACATCAGAACAATAACTTTCACGACAACGTGATGTTCTATTTCTGCTGTTGGATGGCATCCATGTTCCCGAACTATGTACACCATTTAACTCACGTACACTTGGTTCTTCTAGCATTTTCAATGGTTTGAGAACTCTATTGAATGGATGCGTCCTCTCTAAATATAAAAACATTAAAAAAAAGAAATTACTTGTAAAAACATGGCATATCAAATGCTTTATCGTGCCTAGTGAAAGAGTTGATTTTCACTAAATACTAAATAAATAAATATACTAACAGGATTTCTTCAGTCTGTTCGAATAAAATGACTTTAAACATCAATAACTCTTAAATTATCCAAATGTCCTAATTTTCAAGAAACCAATAATATACTTCGCTCTACATTATTCATCCAATCAGTCACTGACTTTCTTATTGAGTGATACAGAAATGCTTCTGTTTAGAGAAGGGTAAGTCATAAAAGTTGAATTAAAGAGATAATTGTCAGATTTGCGTGATTCAATGCATTGCGCTTTTTAGTCGACATTACTGAATTTTTGGTTGAAAACTAGACCTACTGAATAATAATGATTCAAAATCCTGTTGTAAAGGTAGAAAATACAAATTCAGCAGTGATATCATTTTCCTTCGTGGATATGGGTAACTGTTAGCCTACCGAATTCAAGCAATTATTTTAACAATCTAATATGGATACAGTTAAACAAAACTTCAAACCACTTAGTCCATTAGTCAATTTCTTTGTCAAATAAACTTTGATAAGACAGTTTACTGACTTGAATTACTGATTATAACTTGAAGAAGCTGTTACATCATGCTAGGATGAAAGTATAGCTAATATTGACTAATTTACAAAAAGTGTAATCAGTTAATTAAAATTTGTAACATTTCTCGGTTGAACATTAAACTGGAATAAAGCATCGAAAGAAAATTAAATGTTTTATCGATTTTATTGTTAAATGTACTAAGTTTCCAAATGTTATTTGTCTACCTACATACCATCAAATACTATTGTTTCTCACACAAGAAGATGTATGTATCTAACTATTATACTTTTTAGCATAGTATCCGTATGATCAGAATTTGTAAGCCCTGATGAAGGTAAAATAGAAATCAATCAAAATCATATCATTACATTACAGGAGTAGTGGAATATAGACACCTAACTCTAGTCTCAATCTAGCCTTTGTCTTCTTGCTTCACTTTCCAAGACCGAAATTTCTTTAAAAAGACATTATGTTGGGCTTTTTATTAATAAGCAAAATAAAGTGTTTGTACCAACAAAATGCGATATTCTAGTTTATTCATTTGAGTCAAATGGTTGAGAAGGAGACAAAAGATGGGCTTCAAGTACTTGCAAAATAATAAATGGAAAGTCAAATAAACCATGACTACTGAATAGGTTTCTCAGACATCCACATTTCTGCAAAAACGTGATAACGTGATTGCCTTAGTACCTGAAGGTCATGTAGTCGATCCCTTCCAGAGTCGTGGGTGCGTACTGTTGAAGAGTCCCTTTAGTGAGATGAAACAGCCGTCAAGTCCTCCTAGGCCTTCAAATGTTCTCTGTCACAGCATGATGGACACTAACTTGAAAACTAATAAATCCCCCTAAACCTCAAGTCTAATTGTGGTAATGTTTTGAAGATTAACTCAAAGCGTGCTAAATCTCAACTTGAACAAGAACAGTATACTGGGAAGCAAGTATATCCAAGTGATGAAAACTAAGTGTATCTAAACATGTTTTGGATTGCTATGTTATCTAACAACGAAGAAAGAAATGTAACCTGCTTAAGTCGTGTATATCTTCAAACAACTAGCGAACCGACGAAAACTTGATAATTTCTTATGAAAAAGAAACTAGACAACTTAAAATTTTGTATGACGACAAATAGCCAATGTGTAGGAAATATCTGAGGTTGCATATTAAGACAGTACAAAATCCTAACTGTTAAAATTACATTTTAGCGAAGATATCAAAGTTCTCTGTGTTATGCGAATTTCCAACTTAACAGTTCTTAGCAACAGGTATCCATTCTGTACCCAATCTCCGGTTACTACCAAAAAATACGTAAAAAGGTCCTCTTAATAGGTTTGAAGAATGTTTTGTTCATCAGACATTTTCAACGAATCTTGACTGCTTTTCAATCAGCACTGACAGCTACTTCAAAATAGTTGTGATAAATGTTTCAAAAACATGATCAGTTTGACTATGAAAGTGTTGGGTTTTATTCCTTCATATAATGAGCTGCAATGATATTCAAACTAACTTCAATAGATCCACTTCACATTGAAAAACACATCAAGAAATATAATGTGACTGCACATCTTTATGGAATTCATGTGGTAACAAAAGTAATGGCACTTTGATTTTCGGGCTCAGTACATTCGACTAACGCACTCTAACAAAAAAGCATTCTATTCCTACTCGTTTTTTTCAGAATCAACTGATAAGTGAGTCAATTTACTTCCCAATTTCAAGAGCTGAATTGAAAACCTCTCAACACTTCAGATAACAGGATTTTGGTCTGGAATTATACTTATCGCTTGATTAGTCACTTACGTTTCGACTGAAAGACTGAAATATTACCTTATGAAAATTTCCTACAGTAAATCTTATTAGTATAACATTTCAAACTCATTTATAATGCAAATCATTACCTGATCTTCAGTTTGAGCAAGTTTGTTTAAAGCAAATAAAAAGATAAAGGTAATGGGTATAAGAGCATCCGTTCTTGTGATTCGCCCATTTCGTTGGTTATTGTTTTATCAGATGCGTTAGCAGATTCTCAACAAATATGTAAAAGGGATGATACTAAACCTCCTTTTACATGATGTACAGTACTTATTAGCAGCTAGAAGGAATGTTTGGTTAAACACTATGGCATTTGTTGAAAAAAATTAATACTTGAGTTTTGCATTTGCATTGAATGCATAATTATCACAAATTAATGCAGAAGAAAGTGGAGATGGATTGGGCATACACTGTGAAGGCCGATTGGGGACATCACGAGCAAGACCAGATCGTCTAGTGGATTCCAAAAGGGAAACGACAAGTTAGGCGTCCAAGGTGAGGGTGATATAGAGGAGATGATGTGAGGAAGAAATAAAAGCTTGTGGGTAGTCGTGGGGTGAGGTTTAAAAGACTTCAGAGAACAGAGTGCAATGGAGGTGTGCTACTGAAGCCCTATGTTCCACTAGAAACCCAAAGAAAAAATAATGGTAATAACAATTGTAACTCAACGGCGTCTGTAAATAAGATGCAATCAAAAAAGGTAGATAATGAAAACTTTATTGTGACTCTGAGATGTGGTCTATCCCCAGGTAAATGTGGACAGAATACAGCAAAAGACACCATTATCTAAATTTACCACTGAGTCTGAGTAGAAATAATGTAAATAATCAGCCTAAAATAGGTTTCAGCCCTCGTTCATCATAAAGTAACTGCATTTCAGTGATACAAACAATTAAAGCTGCATTTTGCCAGTATTTTCCATTTGTTAAGATGAGTGAAGCAACTTTTACGACGATAAAAATCAGAGCATTGCGCAGATAACAAAAGCGATGCACAAGGATAATTTGAGCGAACTGCTGTTTTCAATAACTTCCTCTCCATACTCTACAGTTATAAATCAATGAGATTAGGTGTAAATACCTTTGCCAATGCAATATGTGTGGTAATATTTCAATATTAAAACATTTAGTATTGTGAGTAAACAGAGACTAAATAAAATGAATGTGCTTTTTTCTCAATATGAACAGAATAATCACGAAATAAGTAGATGAGATTTAGAGATAACATTTATTTTCCCCTGATCATTTTAACCAAAGTGAGAAGAACATTATTTCCAAAATAAATTCAGCTCATATTAACGTCGTTACTTCTCAGATGCAAAGAATCTAGAATATATGGAGAATTAGCTTCAAATAACATAGATATCCTACTTTTGAGCTAGAACAAAGTAACCATGTACACTGGGAAATAAAGGTACTACAGGCGAAATTCAGTTAACAGATGTAAGCAATGTGAATGAAAGTGATAAGTTTGTTTATTTGCGGGCAATTAGGAGAAAAATCATAGAATTCTAACAAGGGGGATCGGAAGTAGTAAAATCGATAAAATAATCACTACCATATTAGAAGCAACAGTCAAAATAATATGTTGACCATAGTTATAACATATTTTTGACCCGGAAACAAAAGGATAAGTGTTGCTTAACACAGAATTTATATCACGGATAATAAAGATAGAAAAGGGGAGAATCAGGAAACATGAAATAAGGGTGTAAAATCTTAAAGACAAACACATAGCTACAAATGTAATGCTAGATTAATCATTGTCTCTTTCTAACCATATAGGTCAGGTTTAAAGCATTTGATTTCTGTGAATTCTGTTAAACAAAGTAAAATAGAAGATCGTTATCGATTTATTATTTTAAGGGCTAGAACCTAATCTGCTCTGCTTTTTGAGTCGACTAAATAGTATGTGATTGAACTTGTTAGCGATTTCGAACCATCCAGTCACAGGTTGCATGGAATAAGTTCTTCCTGAGCTTTTGAAATACTATTGAAATATAAAGGAATCACTTACTCTATCGGATACGTTCCATCAAGAAAGACCCACATTCTTCTACTTATCCTTTCGTAGTTAACATCCTCTTCGTTTAGCAACTGAATAAACACCTGCTTGTTCTCATCTGTAACTAAATTCGTTCCCTCCATAGGTACTTTAAACACTTCCTAATAAAACCTATTGGATAACCGTTATCTAACAGATGCACCTCAAGGAGAACCAACTCGTCGCTTGCCTTTTTTTGAGCGAAGTTTCCTAACTACTGAATAAATTTCTACCTAGTCCATATGTGTAGTTCATTGGGCAGAAGCTATTGTGGCTTAAATATTGTCCTGTTCAAGCATCTTTGCGATAGTTGCTTCTTCCAATTCTATCGCCATCACATCTGACCATTCAATCAAAAAAGTTTAGGCGGTTTTCATGTTCATACTCTATTGTAAAACTAATTTTTGGGTGTGCATTGTTCAAAATCGGAAACAACTTCAGGGCTTGATTCATTTCTTTGCAAATCACAAATATACTGTCTATGTAGCTTGTGTAAAATATACAACTGTCGATAATCGAATTCACTGCATTCGCTTCTTGGT